GATGGTGGGTACGTACAATCACTGTGCTGTGGGTGGAAGCTTTGAAGGAACCGATGGCTGAGGAGTGGCATGGAAGGAAAGGAAAGAAAGGGGAAAAGAAAACAAATCTGCTGTTTGCCTGAGCCTCTCTGACTTGCAAGAGTACACTGCAGACTAAAGACATTTCTTCTAAAACAACAAACCTCCTCCCTGTATCACTCCTGCTCATTAGTCCAGACAGTACTGGGCCAGCCACACCGGGTGCATTTCTTTTTTTCTTCCTTATTTCTGTGTGGCTGACTTGATGGGAAAGAAAGTGGAACTCATGATCCAGAGCTGGAGTTTCAATACCCACAGACCTTTTGTGCATCATCTGCCTCTTCAGCTGGACATGTGGACGATGATGGTGTAGATGCTGCTGCTACTGCAGGGGTCCCGCCTGGTTTATTACCCTGCCCACCACACCCCAGCACGGAGGGACAGCCAGAGAGGCGCCATGTACAGAATCGCATCTATTTCTGCTTTGTTTTCTGACTCAGAACCCTGCCCCGATGACTACGACAACAATGACAACAACAACAACAACAACAACAAAGAAAGGGCAAATGCATTTTTTACATTTCTTGATAATTTCCAAAGCAATGTATCATTGCTTTCTTTAGACTGACGCCAATATAACAGTTGTATGGGTCTCAGCCAGGCTCCTGTGTCTTTTCTGCCTGATAGTTTCAGATTGCTCTATGGAATGTATGTGCTTTGCACACAGACACAATCATACGGGGTGGCGGCACCACGAGCCCGTGGGGTTGCTCACCTGAGTCACAGATGAAGTTGGAGGCCTTGTTTCGTACGTGTAGATGAGAAACCCCGACCCACTGGTCCAGTGAGCTGAAGTGAAGCAGCCCTGCTGGGACAGAACCGAGTATCCTAAGATATATGCATGGTCCTGTCGTGACTGTCCCCATGGCAGGGGCAGGGTGGGGGACAGGAACACTGAATGGGGAATTTGGAGCACAGCCAATATAAAATAAGTAGAATCCAGTTGGGGTTTCTCGTAGTGGTGACATTTTATCAGTTCCCATAATGAAAACTGTAGTGCATATAAAGAAAACATTCCAGGCCATCAGAAGCCCCCGTTCCCGTCTTGCTAACATGGAGGCTGGAGGGCACTAGAGGCCACAGAGGTTTTATTGATACAAAGAATGTGGAAAACAGAACTGGGCCCTGAAAAATTTAATTATGTTTTTCCCCCATTTATTTTCTTCTTCAAAGAAGTCTAACAAATATAATTCTCAGTAGCTGCACAGGGTTTCTTTTTTTCTTCTTCTGAATGCTGCAGAGTTTTTAAAGTTTTATTCTGTAAGCAAGCCCAGGAATCCAGAAGGTTTCCAGTGGGATCTCAGTCTGTGGAGCTTTTATCCCTGTTCCTGCTTTGTTTCTGGACAGCTGAAACCACTATGGCCTTGCTGCTAGAGCACTCTGAGGTGGGGAGGCGGGGGTGAGGGCAGAAGGACAGCAAGAGACATGTCCTGTACTGAAAACAGATTGGGCTCCAATTGCTCTCAGAGAAGTCAGTAGCATCACACTGGAATGGAAAAAAAAAAAACAAAAACCTCTTCTGATACAAACTTTAGTGTTCTAGTTAAATCCTCCATTCTTCCTCTGCCCCTTATGGGGAGCTTAGCTGTTAACACTTGAGCATAAAAAACAGGCCTTCTTTAGGGGCACAGGGCTCGACTCAGTTGCCTAAATGTGGCGTCTCCTGTCACTTGAGATACCCTACGGTACCCTGTCGGGTCTGCAGCAGCTCGTTCAGAAAGGCACAACTCTGCCCCAGGTAGGGCTGGTGTCACAGCCACCAGCCCCAGAGGATGGCAGAGATCTCAGGTGGCCGGAGACAATTAGGCAACTTAATCAAGTCCCTTTCTAAAGGGCTAATTGGGAGGACCTATGACTGATGTAATGAGGGAATCTTCATTAGCATTACCAAGGGCTTAGTTAGGCAGGACCAGGAGCTTGTCTGCACACTCCCATGCCGTTGTTTTTCTACCCCAAGTCAGGCACACAGCCTCCACTCCGACAGGCTGACGTTCACAGTGCTCTGCCCAGCCCTTAGCCAGGTTTAGTGGCTGCATCCCAGGCCCAGTGGAGCAGGGGCAAGCCCAGGCGAGAGCAGGCATCACTCCACCCAACAACGAATTTTCCTGCCAGCGTTCAAACAGCCCCTTTCCAAAGCTTTATCCTATTCAAGACAGACCCACAAACTCAGACACCATTTGCTAGCCTCATAATTTGGATGAAGAAATACCTGTGTTTTTCTGTTAGCTCTTTCCCCAAATAGGCTTTTAGTATTTTAAGCATCCCGAGTCAGTCTGCTCCCATCTCAAGCACCTAGGTAGACTGGCAGCCAATACTATCTAAATATCATCAACTTTATGATTGCTCATAGAAATGATTGTTTCAAGCTTATTCAGTCTTGACAGTTTGAATGTGGGAAGATTTTGTAGGAGGAGGAGTGAGATTGTAAATATCTCTTTGACAAACATTGCTGCATCACACACAAAAAAATAAAAAGGGGAGATACTTATAAAACTGCCTTAAAAATCAATTCTGAATGATGACATCTCCCTCCAAACAATTGCCGCTTGACAGAGCAAGGAATGAGTCACTTTGGGTGAATTCTGGCAAGAAGTGGTTGGAATCTAGTCCTGTTTCAGGAGTGAAAGTAATTTAGGAGCTGATCTCTCACTCAGTCTGAATTCACATCAGCACAGATGACTGAGCACTGCAGGATCTAACCAGTTTAAGGTCTGGGGGGTGCTGTATCTGGCCTGCACCTGCATGGTTTGGGTGTGGCCCGGTAAGGTACCGGTGTTTCCCAGTGACTTCAGGGAAGATGGGGTTCCTCAGCACCTCTTAAGTTCAGGCCCTGGAGCACCATTTCCTGCTCTGATCATCAGCTATAAATGTTGATAAATATAAGTGTTTTGCCTTCATTTGAATTGCCCAGAGCTGTAAAATGACCTCTCTCAAGTATAAATCAGCCCAGATATAAACCTCCTCTCCCACTCTTCCCTACACTCCCTGCCCACCCTCCCAGCCCTCCCTTGCACCTCCACCCAAGCCCTTCCCTGTCTCAATTCTTTACCTCCTGCCACAATTTTATATCTAGTTTTCATGAACCCACAGAAATGCTTTTGTAAATAATGCTGTACAGTTTGTAACCGTCATGTAAGCCTGTCATCAGTGCCAGAGTCCGTCTTGCCCTCTCGCACGTTTTAAAATCTACAGAGGAAAGTTAGAGTGAGTGGCCCGCCAGTGAGCTATAGGGTCATCTCTGTGTGGGACAAATGTATATTCCTGTAAGATTGCATTTTTATCTAAGGAATGATGTTATTTTAAAATTGCTAATAAATTTCTAAACAATGTCCAGATTTGTTTAATATTGTAAATGTTATCAAAACTCATTTTGACGTTGGTCCCTTCTCCCAGCAGTGGCTGAAAAATAAAACGGATTCCTGCAGCCCTTTATTTCCCATCGACAGCCCTGCTGCCAATCATGCGCTCTCACCTGTATTTAAGGGGCTGCAGAACAGTCTTGACAGTCACAGCCTGCCTTGATAAACAGTAACTTAGGAAATCCAACCGCTCTCTGTGCTGTTGTCACCACAGAAATTCTGCCATGTCACGATGTCCAACGTGTGACTCATGCGTAACCACACATTTAACATTTTCTCTACTGGGTTCCTTTTTACCAAGCACATGTAACTAAAAAACCGAATGCCCGCAGCTTAAATATGGTGTAATTAGTACATACATAAGCCATGAAGCTAATGGGATGATAACAAGTAACATACCATGCATGTACTTTTCGGTTGAACAAATTTGTTCTACCACAGTTATCAAGCAATTACGCCACAGTGCCAGCTGAGCACTGCCTTTCTGTCATAGCACTGTAAATCACAATGTGCTCAGCCCAAGTACAGCAGTATAAGACTGAGTAAAATAATGCCTAAAGAAAAAAGAATGTGGGGTTTTTTTCAATTACGTGTATATACATATATTATTCCCCCTGATTCACACACAGCTATCAGAACTGCAGGCTTTGCTTTTAGTGGTGGCACAAAAGGCTAAAACTCAGGAGTTGATGAAAGCCTGTGGATGTCATCAGTGCTGGATGTTGGAATGGCAGAACGATCACCAGCAGAAATCTCGTTATCTGCAGGCTCAGGCTGGCCATCAGTCAGACATTTGCCACCACAAAACCATATGAAAGTGCCGTGGCTGCTGGTCAAAGCCCAGCAAACAGTTCAGCTTTGCTAAAAAACACCCTGAGCTGGAAATTCGGTGGAGCTCCCTGGGGCTGGGCTACAGCTCTGTGTGACACCATGAGGTGAAAACCATGGCAAAAAAACGGGTGAAAGCGGCTGTGGGCGTGTTGCAGTGTGAAGAACAGCGCGAAACCTCGAGTGAAGCCTGTGAGACAGCTGAAAAGGGGGGAGAGTCGGGAATGAGTAACAGGTTTCACAGCCCCCTGTGAAGTGGTCGCATTTAGAACAGCCCCTGGACAGGAAAAGCACAGCATACACCTATACTGCGTTTTATTCAGCAGCTGCACACTGCTGCTGGTGTCAGCTTTTAATGCTCACGGCATCTACCCGAAGCCAGAGGTGAGCACCGGGAGTTCCACCTCAGCGTGAAGAACTTCTTCGGGGGGGGCAGAGCCCTGGCACAGGCTGCCCAGGGAGGTCGTGGAGTCTCCCTGTCCGGAGACATTCCCAACCCACCCGGACGCGTTCCTGTGTCAGCTGCTCCAGGTGACCCTGCCTTGGCGGGGAGGGAGGGGTTGGACTGCCTGATCTCCAGCTCTGACGATTCTGCGATGAGCCCGCACACTCGGGACCCCCCGCGAAGGCAACCCCCGGGCAGAACCAGGTTTGGCTGCCCCCAGGGAGGCGCTGTGTCCAGCGGGGCGGAGCCGCTCGGAGCTCACTCAGCCCGGCCTGACCCGGCCCATCCCGAACAACCGGCCCCACATGGCGGGCGGGGCCGGGGCCCCGCGGTCCCGCCTCAGCACCGCCCCGGCCCCTCCTCAGGTGCGGCCGGCGCCGCCCCGCGCAGGTCGGGGCCCGGAAGGCCCGGGGCGGCGGTGGCGGGAGGCGATGGCGGGCGCGGGGCCGCTGGGACCGCTGCTCCTGCTGCTGCCGCCCCTCCTGTTGCTGACCCCCGGCGCGGCCCTGCGGCTGCTGCTGGACGCCGCGCCGCCCTTCACCTGCTCCCAGCCGGTAAGCGCGGGCAGCGCCCGGGAGCGCCGCGGCCCGAGCGGGGGCGAGGAGCCGGGAAGTTGGGATGGGGGAAGCGGCGGCCGGCGCCGTGTCGCTGTGCCCGGGAGCGCCGGTGCGGAGCGGAGCCTGGGAGCGGGGGAGCATTCCAAGCTCCGCAGGACTCGGCTGGCCGTGCGATGGCCGCCGGGAAGCGCCGGTCACTGACATCTCCGGGGGGCCGCCCGGAGTCACTGGGCAGGATGTGAGTCTTTGCTAATCGCTGGCGTTGCCTCACGTCCTAAATGTTTTAAGCTGTTCCTTGCAGCTGGGGGTTGGTTTGTTTTGGGTTTTTTTGTGGTTTTTCTTTTAGGAGAAAGCAGGGAATCGCTTGTGAAGGAGTAAGGAAACAAACATATGCTTGAGAGTTTTGAACTGGCAGATTTTGGTTGCGTTTTCTCCCTGTGAACCCAGCCAGAGAGGAGGTGCAGATTTGGGGTCCGTATAAAAGGTGAACTAACCAACATGAGCTGACTTTGGCACCCCAGAGTATGAACTCCGAGCTGGTTCTGGTCGCTCCCTCTGCTGGTTTTTGGGGTTTGATTTAGATTTGTTTTGTCGATGGTCACTGTTGGGTTTTTTGTACCTAAGATACATGTAAGGAGTGTGTAGAATAAGGGAGAGATCTGCTTTTGCTTTTTATCTCTGACAACGATAGCGGTTCATGCATAAACAGGAAAAGGGGCAGTTATCTTCTAACCTAGACAGTTTTGTATGTCATGATGCACTTTCAGCAGTCTAGCGAAGGCAGCTAGTCAGGTGCAGCTATAAACAAATATAAAACAAAATCTGTCCTTTGGGATGAAAGCTTCTGTAATCTTTTCCTGTACACATTTCCTGTTTTTTGTCTAGTCTGACTTTCCGACTCCTTTCCTAATGTTTGACTCTATCCTTACCTCTCTTTTACCTGACCTCCGCTCTGCTGCCTTCACTCCTATTACAAAGACCCCAAGAAAACAGACCACTTCTGCAATTTTACTTTAGGCTGGGCATTATGGAGTTACAAAATGCAAAATCTTGGGAAAGTGGAAAGAAGACATTACAATATTGCTTAGGCATCTCGCATAACCACAATATCCCAAACGATTGTCACATGGAGATTGAGATAAATTATTAGAGAGTTTCTGTGAGTCCTTGGATGCTTGGGCTTTGCCTGACTGTGTCTTGCTGTCTTGTACCTCCTTTTTTTTTTTAGGAAATGTGAACCACAGTAACTTGTTGAGGGCTTCACCAGTGCATCCCCAACTTTCACTGAGGAGCGGTGTTGCCCCACGCTCTGGGTGTGCTCACAGATCACTTAATGTGCAAGGCTGCTACTTTGGCCTTTTCTATCAAAAAGCAGGTTTCTAAAATGCAGATAGACTTACGAAAAAGGCGTTGTCTTAAGCCCCCGAGGAGCCTCTCTAGAAGCAATTGTGAAGCTGCTGACACAAACAGAAAAAAGTACCATCAACTGAAGTTTTGACAGTTGAAAACAGTTTCCCCTTCCCTTTCTGTTGGTTGCACCGTTTTCGGAGCATGATTCAGTAACCCTCCCAGTGTGTGACTGTGGTGTCGTTCAAAAGAGAAGCTGTTGCTGAGCAGGGTGGGGGAGACCCACTTCCTTTTTCTAACCCACCCACTGCCGTTGCCGAGCTTTGCAGCAGGTCAGGGTGAGCAACAGCAAAACTTTTTCAGCAAAACTCTCATGCGGCAAAGGCTGCTCGAAAGAGAAAGTGGTGGAGGGAAAGTCTCATGTCAGTGTCGTTAGACACCTGTAAATTGTGAAAGTAAAACTAAATGCTTGTTAACAGCTCATCTTACTAAAATGTCAACAAATGCACTCAATGGGCTTTATTCACCACCACTCCATCAAACCTGCTCAGCTGTAGGGCTGAATAGCACAGCTGCAAGTCCAGTTCCTTCTGGTAAGGAATATTTGAATATGTCATCTGCAGGAGTTTTTTACTATGCGCAGGGGAAAAACATCTCACAGCTTATATACCCATCTGGTTGTTCATCAAGTGTGAAGTGACTGTGTTCAGTCACTGGGCTGTAGCTGTTTCCAAACATGGCATGCCTTGGTGTCCTGGAGGAATGCATAGTTGGGTAGTTGGGTCTTTGAAACCTATCTTACCAGCTTGGTGGATATTCACTACAAGTCTCTGGAGAAGAATTGATGTAACATCTCTCATGAAGATGAGCAGTGGTGGTGCATGTGAGGAAGGCTTTACAAAGGTGTTCATTTTGCCTTTGCTATTGACTGGCTTCTCTCATTCCCCTCTGTGGCATCTTTTTGCTGTGTAGGATGTTGACATAAACTGTGGTCCACTTAGTGCTGGTTTTGAATCTGATTTTGCTGAGAATTTATATGAGGGCAAGAGAAAAATTTAGAAACTATAGAGAAAAATGCTTTAAAAAATCAAAACAATTTTGTAAAAGATGGTTGTTTCCTACAAGCCTTAAGCACATCACCCTTCAGCAGTTATTCCTGTAGTGTGTTCATGTCCACTTGATCTTTATTTCTTTTTATTGAGGAATCAGAAAGGGGAAACTGCAGTAAACTTCAAATCACCCAAGCCTCAGAAAATACACAGAATCGCTCATAGGCAAGAGGAGGATTTTGGAAAGCTGGACCCCTTCCCATTCAGCAGCCACTCTTTAAAGGAAAACTGGACACTTGCCCAGCTCAGCAGTGGTTTCTTGTTAGTTACCACAACATCCTGCTGGGAAATCTTGGCCCCATGTTACTTTAATTGAATTGCTATGGGATGATACTGTTAATCAGTTTCTCTTTTTTTTTTTTTTTTTTTTTTTTCAGATTCTTCTGATTCTCTGAGGCATATGGTCTATTTGGGTTTGGGGGTTTTTTTAATGTCAAAAGCAAAACAAAAATCATTTAAAAAGAGCGAAGGAAACAGTTGCTTATCTTTCTGTGAAAATATGGCAAGTAAACATGACGAGTTGACTGTGCCTGTCCTCTTCTGCTGATAATAGTTTCAGCATCACCTCACAATCGTCTGCTTCTCATATTTATGCCTCCCCTCTGTGTAGCTTTGCTTGTCGGGCCTGAAAGGCAATAGGAAGCTGCTGAGAAGAGAACATTTCAATTTAAGCCCCTTCTGTAATAATGTGCAGAGCATGTTGCCTGACTGTGAGCTCCATCTTCAGCTTTTCTGCAGAGCTCTTAATTTTTGTTCCTTCTCCTCCTGTTTATCTGCTTGTCTGTTGTATGCAGACTGACACATCTCTGTTCTGTCAGTGCTTCTTACATGCTTCTAGCTCTGTGTAGGCAACCAGAAACAATCATTGCTGTCATTTTATTTCTACTGTATCATCTAAATATGTGCTTTTTCAATGTAATGGTTTAAGCCCAACTGGCAATTAAGCAGCATGCAGCCACTCACTCTCTCCCCTCGCAGGATGGGGGAGAGAATCAGAAGGGTAAAAGTGAGAAAAAGTGAGTGTTTGGGATAAAGACAGTTTAATAAGTAAAGCAAAAGCTGTGCACACAAGCAGAGAAAAACAAGGAATTCATTCACCACTTCCAGTGGGTGGGGAGGTATTCAGGACAGCAGGGCTCCACCATGCTTAATAATGACTTGGGAAGACAAATGCCATCGCTGCAAACATTCCTCCCCCCTTTCTCCTTCTTCCCCCAGCTTTATGCGCCAAGCGTGATGGTATGGACTATCCCTTTGGCTAGTTGGGGTCGTCTGTTCCAGCTGTGTCATTCCCTTAGTTTATGGGCCGCTCCTGCAAAGTCTCCGCAAAATGTCCATTGAGTTCATTTAGTCCATGATGTTGTGCTCCATCTGTTATGGTGGTCACTCAGGACAGGAGAGGTGGTGTGTTGGAGGACTTATTGGGCACTAAATCCAGCTCAGGTCTGGTCACTGCTGCACTTGCACTGCTTCTTGTAAGGCTTGTCCTCCTGAGGTTCAGGTGGTTCCTGTTACACTAATTCCTATAACATGCCATTCAAATGACGAGTTAGAACCATTTAAAGGTATTTCCATTACAGTCTCCACTTCTGGTCCTTTTGGGCCATCTTATATGGTTTAACATTGCAATGAACTCCTCCCCTTGCTCCCAGCCTGGCTGCAATAAGAGATTCCTGCTATAGCCCACCGTGGGCTGCCAGGGAACAGCCTGCTTCACCGTGGTCTTCACCACAGGGGGCAGAGGGATCTCGCACTCTCCCTCCTCCAGCGTGGGGTCCCACCGTGGGAGACAGTCCTCCATGAAGTTCTCTGACGTGAGTCCTTCCCACAGGCAGCAGTCCTTCACAAACTTCTCCAGCGTGGGTCCCTTTCACAGGGTGCAGTCCATCAGGAACCGGCTGCTCCAGCGTGGGTGCCCCACAGGGTCACAAGCCCTGCCAGCAAACCTGCTCCAGCATGGGCTCCTCTCTCCGTGGGTCCACAGGTCCTGCCAGGAGCCAGCTCCAGCATGGGCTTCCCACAGGCTCACAGCTGCCTTTGAGCATCCAGCTCCTCTAGCATGGGGTCCCTCCATGGGCTGTAGGTGGATCTCTGCTCCACCATGGACTCATCCCCTTGACTCTGGTTCACACTGGAGTTCCAGCCTGTCCAGTACAGCAGTGATGCCCTGACCATTTGCCAGCCCAGACACTTTGCCACTGCTGTTATCAGAGTAATTGCAACAGAACAAGGACAAAATGACTGAATGTTAAGTGATAGGGTTTAATAGAAGTCATTCAATTACAAAAAGCCCCATGGTTAGTAGCTAGTTATTTTTGTTACCTCTCATTGGTTCACCCCAGCCAGCAGCTCAGCCCCATGTGGCTGCTCACTCCTTCCCCTCAGTGAAATGCACCCTATCAGCTGCTCTGAAGAAAATTAGACGAAACTACTGCACCTTTTTACACAAAGAACATTGTCAGGCTAAATAGTTTACCTAAAAAAGTCTGGTTAAGTGTTAGGAGTAATTTTCATAGTTTAATTGACTTTTCCATGCTGGCACTTTACAATTTTTATTTTTCCCTTTGTTAAATGATTGTAGTTTAACTGGTTTTGGTTTGGTTTAATCAGCATTCACTTCTTTGCTTTTTAGGTTTTTCCCTTTATCAAAGGATGTAGGTTGCAGGTACTTTGTGAGAATGTCCTGCAGTGGCATGGGGGGAGGGAAACCTGATCTGGGAGGTACAAAGTTTCAATAATATTTCTATTAACTATACTTGTAACCAGTTTCTCTTAAGTCCAACAGGATCTATATACACAATGGAGGATTTATCTGTACATTTGTCTGCAATAATTAGATGCAGTAAAGTACAGTTTAGACTAAATTGGTATTTATATTCAAATTGATCATGTTGACTCCCCTCGTTGTGGCTGACTTGACCTTTTGAGCACAACAAAAATAGTGAAAAGTACCTCTTGCTTGTCCTTATATTGACATTAAGTTCAGATTTATTTTGCTTTTGATTATGTTAGAGCTACTCTGCCCCACACAGGGCACAGCTGCACAGCTTTTGGGGCTGCTTGTACCAGGACTCCCATCTAGCATCCTATGGGACTGTCCATCTTGGGGTGTTTTTGGAGTTAGTGCCACAAACCCAGTGTTATAAAGGTAAGAGAGGTCTTCATTGTCAAGTTCAAGTTCTGAATCCTCATCAACAGACTGATGGCTCCTCATCCTCTCCTTTGGTTTTCTGATGAACCACTTTGTGCAGTGTTTCCATGATGGTAAATTCTTCCCGTTTGTGTGCGTCACTAAATTCACTGAATTGTTTTTTTCCTGCCCTTCTCCTGCCACCAAGCAGAGGCAAATTACTGTCAATCCAGTTTCTATTCTGAGAGTAACATTCTTGTTTCTTTCCCCCCACAGGATTTAAACTGTCTCGTAAGAAATAGTAAGTATTTTTTTCCTTCATTGCTGTTTTCTCATCAGATCATGCTTTTTTTATTTTCTTTTTTTAACAAGGGTTCATACAGCATGTTTTTCCTGCTGGAATCAGAGTTGTGAAGTGAAGCACTGCTGTCTTGCTTTGCTTTGGGAGATTCCAGTTTCATCCCTTAATAAGCACTGGCTAGAAGAGGAATGGAAAGTTATGTCTTTTTTGGGATAGAGTTTGGGGGTGGGCAGTGGCATGGGTGGAACCCAACCTATCTTGTTCAGTTTCTATCTAAAGCTGGGATCATCATTTTTAAAGAAATGGGAATTTTAGGACAAGTTTACCAGTAAATGTTCATTACAAGTCATTCTATCTATGATAGTACTTGATGAAAAATTAATGTATGGACTAGAATTAAAAAGAAGGCATAGAGGTGGGCAGTTGAGAGCAATTAATGTAAATTATTGGGTGTTGGGGGTCAAGTCTTAGCAATGGCATGCATCTGAAGCACTTTAATGTAATTATGGGTAATGTTCTTAAAAAAAAAGAGAATGTTCTATAGTTGTCCACTTGATACCCAGAGGCAACTGGACAGTGGTGCAGAACTCCTTGGCCTTTCCTTGCAGTCCCTGTTCTAAGCAGGCTCATTCCTGCCTCAGTGCCCAATCCTGTATTGGACTGGCACAAGTATTTTTGTAGCCAGTAGTGCTTTTTGTAGTATTATTGCTTGGCTTACCAGGTCAGGGAGATGACTATGCTGAAAATACCCAGGTTTTAAACTTTTTTTGGCAGGAGAGGGATTTGGTGGGATTAGATTGGATCATATTTCCCACTGGCAGACAGCCATTGGAATACATCTTGACAACAAGGCTAAGCCAAACTGCAGCTCCGCCATTAAAATGCTGCCTTATTTGAATATTTGGTTTAAATTCTGCCTTATGGCTCTTGTTGTGTTTTTCTGCTCTAGGGGAAATATATTTTTTTTAGTGCCTAGCACACTCTTTTCTGAAAGGTACTTTATTCTTGTCAGGCTTTTTATAGATATTTTTTGGTAGAATGAGCATGTGGGGATTGTCTAATTACTTCCTAAGTATAAAACCATGCTGTTACCAGAAGGGACAGTGCCCACTGTTCCCATCACTAACCCAGCAAAACAGACTGAAAGTGTACTTTGGGGGGCCTGACTGTGCTATTTTTTACATGCTCTGATAAGTCAAATGTCTTACAAAATCTAAGTAGATCGTGTCTGTCTAATGCCTGTCATACCTGATTTCACTTTCTGATGAGATTACAGCACCAGTTTTCCCTAACACTGTCTTGACTAGAGTAGTTTATTTTTCTGTCCAGAGAGCTCATTAATTTAGGTAAAGCATAACACTGTTGGAAGCTAAATTCAGATGTATATTCAGATTTGAGGTAAAGCAGTTTTTAGACACAAAGTAATTAACAGTTGGAAGAATTTCCCTGGGTATCTGACAGATTTCTTATGATTGGAAGGCTGGTAATTAGTACTAACATGGGTTCACTTCAGCACCAATGTATGGACTTGCTACAGGAGATACTGAGCAAACTTCCTTGACCTGTTTAGCCTGAATACATTGATTGAGGTAATTACTAATGGATTTTCAGGAAAAGAGGAAGTATAAGCTCCTAGAACGAGTTCAGAATATTACAGGCAATTTACAAAGTACTTCCATGCTGAAAACTGCCTTTTTGAATTGGGGAGCTGTCTGTCACCCAGTTTTGCCTTCAGGATAACCCTGACCCAAAGGGCAGACCATAACTGCCATTAAGCAGAGCTTCTTCAACCCCCCTCTGAATGGTGGTTTTCATTTGCTGGACAGGTACCTGCATGGAGTCGAGCTGGCTGAAGCTTCCAGGTTGGACTCCTTCTGCTCCAAGCAGTCTTTATGTCTCTTCTCATGTTTTCCGTCAGGTGGATGGAAAACTGCTCCCTGTGCTTCAGATAGAATGGAAAGTGGCTACTGATGGTAAGTGATGGTTGTTTAATTTGAGCACGAAGCAGAGGAAATAGGTGTGGTCTTGTGAGAATTATGACTTCAAGTCTTTCACTGTCACGAAAGCAGACCTTTGAAATTTAGGAGTTTGGCTGCTTAATTTTGTTGATTTGGGGGTTATAATCTCGTCCTTGTAACTTAGGTTTCCTATATGGGTGTGTGTCTTCATAAAGGAATAATTGTCCCATTGCTGGAGCATAAATTAGTACTAGTAAGTCAAGTTTTCTCACTCTCCAAGTGTCTTTAATTGTTTGTAAGTGATGCTTCCCTTGCACACTCTTGTCCAAAGTTTTGCACAGATTTAAGACGGAATGAAACACATTCATTTCTTCCTTCTGCAGGGCCTATGTCTGAGGGCTATATAGTTATGGCCTATAGCTATAGTAGTGTAGAAGCAGGTGTGACTCAGGTAACACAGTCATTTTCTTCAGCTGTGGTTATAAACTTTCTCATTGGGACTGTGTGTACCAAAACAAAAGCGTATTTACTTTGGGGCCCAAACTGCATGAAGCAGCTTTGAGGGGCAGAGCTAAACACAACACTGAATCTATGGAACTGCCAGGGAGCGTGGAAGAATGCAGTTGCCTTCTCCTTTGCTCCTTCATCTGCAAAGATGTAGCTCTTGCCATGCAGGACAACCTTTAAGCTGAGAGTGCTGTCAGTCAACCCTGCACGCTCACTTTTCGTGGCCAGTTATCTTTGTGTTGGGATCCCCAGCGCTTCAAAGGAGTAAGGCTGTGACAAGGCTGAGCACAGTGGTGACCTCTGGGGGGGGTTGCAACCTCTGCATGTGCAGATGGCAGGAAAAGACAGGCATGTCTCTGTGTCCCTGTGCCTGCAGCCAGCATCCGCTGTCTGGAAGGGGCAGAGCTCGCCGTGCTGCAGGTGAACAGCAATCAACAGGTCTGTGCCCAGTTTGACTTCCAGAACAATTTGCCTCTTCAGGTCCGTCCGGATGGAGGCCGGGTGAGTGCCAAGGGCTTTAAACTACTTCTCCTAGTTCATGACTTTGTTTCTGCTTTCATTGTCTTGCAGCAAGGTTATTGATTAAAAAGTACAGACTGGTTAGAAGAGTTGGTGAAATAGTCAAGATATTGGACTTGACATCTGCAGTCATTTCCAGTTTCTCTTTCACTCTTCCCATCCCTCAGGTTTTAAAAATTATTGCTCTTGTTTGGTGCCTACCACAACCAAGGTCTGGATGTTGCTTAGTTTTTAGAAGTTTTTGGATTCTGCCTGAGAGCTATGGCATTTTATAGCTTTTTTTACCTTAGCCCTTCCTTTTATTTCCACTTCTTTCCTATACTCTCTTGCTGTGGAGGAAAGTGCCAACCTTGGGGGTGGTCCTTCAGCTTACACTCCTTCTGGGAAACTCATCAGAAAAATGCTGAGCATCCACAGCTCCCTTTATAAACAATAAGGAATCTGGAATTTTTTCCTTACCACACAGAATTTGGCCATAGTTAGCTTATCTTCTGGAGCCAGTGCCTCTCCCACAATTTGCACAGTATTGCTGATGTGGAGAACAGTATAGATTTAGGATAATATGTATGGAATGACCAAGTACAAAACTGCATATGTGTAAGTGCAATACTAAATGCTTAGCACTTGCACAGCACTGCAAGATTCATACACGACTGAAATTTTAGTCTTGAAACTGTGTATTTTAGCCTAATCTCCTTTCAGTTTGGAATGTAATTTAATGGAAACCACACAGTTGTTTGGCATAAAACTGTTGTATCAGTTCAAAGATATAAACTCATTCCAAACAGAAGAGTTGAGACAGACCAAGGGACTGGTACATTTAGTACACTTAAGTTCCATTTTTCTGTAGTCAGGCTGCAGTAAAAGGGTTACGTGGGATGAGGGAACACAGTGGAACAGGGCCAAGTCAGCTGTTAGTTTCAGTACCTTTAAAGAACATCATTGTCCTTTTAAGTCCATGTGGATGTGTTTTGTTTTCAGTGGAATTTCACTTTTGACCGTTTTGAAGTAGAACCTGGCCAGACTTACCAAGTGACTGTCTACCACCTGCCCAAGCTGGGTGTAAATGGAGACTACAACTGCAAGTCCACGTCTGTCACAGTGCCTGGTAAGAGATGCTCTAGTTCACTTAGGCCTTGAGCTTGGGACTGTAGTGGTTTGTGGACCTGTTGGTTGGGTGTTTTTCCGGTCCAGACCCGTGAACTGTGAGCCAGTTTGGCAATAGGGTGGCAGTATTAAAAAACCCTGTTGTCCTTTTTGGATATTGCTGTTCAGAAAATCCATGGTGCTAGCCGATCTCCAGTACCCCTGTGGTACATACCCAAAATGTTTGTATCATTTTTACTACAAATCACCATCCTTATTTCTGGGATCCTGTGTCCAGAAGTTTGTCAAGTCTCTGCTTGGAATAAGGTGTGTGTGGAGGGACTATTCCGTGAAGGACGGACCTTTGATTCCAGTTGACTGTAGTTTCTGCATGGAAGATACTGCTGTAAAAATTGTTACATGCTTTCTGGAAAGCTGGACAAAGCCTTGGACTTGGGCTGCTGATTTCTGAGAAATTGCATTTGTAGCTTGTCCAGAATTCTGCTGCAGCTATGGCTAAAGAGAAATTTCACAGTTAAACCTGAAAAGGAAAATGAGTGCTCCTCTGAGGGGCTAATTGAATGTGAGTTACATCTCCTAAGTTTTGTTGCTGAAGTGCTCGTCAGTTGAGCAAGCACAAAGCGATTTCACCTACGTGAGTGGGGCTGTGGAGGAATCTTTCATGTTCTCTGCAGAATGTCGCTGCTACTTTAATTTAAAATCTTTCAGAGTTGCCCCTCTGCTTGTGGAAGCTGGAAATACAGGCCAGAATTTTGAAATTCCAAGGAGTAAAGTTTGGCTTCTAGTATTAAAGCTTACACATGTGAAGTTGCATTTCAAAGGCAGAGTTAGACATAATTTACCAAGAAACTTGATAGTGCCAAGTGCCTGACCCTTTCTTGCGTATGTGAAAATTTTCCTGTTGCTAAATGAATTTTTGTGGTTTTCCTCAAGGATGCTGAGCATCTGCAGTGCCCTCTGGCTGCACTGACTGGCTTTTAAGTATTTGGCACTTAATACAGAGCTTGAAAACTGATTCTTAACTTTTTTCTTAACTTCTTTTAGTTGTCAACCTGATTTTGTAGTTATAAAATGGCAAGGTATGGAGTGTATCAGTCAATGTGAGCCGGAAAAGGAGAGGGAACACTTGATTCTCAACCCCCTTATCTTTTTTATACCTGGTCGCACTAAGAACTTCCTGGCTTTTATCCTCCACTCTTCTTCAGAAACCTAATACATTCTTACACATGAATTACAGGAGCACTGTAAATTTTCCAGCTTTGAAAATTGGAAATGTAAGAGATGCAACATTTTGTTTCAACTGTCTAAGCAGGGATTTTTTCCTTTTTCTTTATCCAAACCCTGGAGGGGAGGCATAGTTTAGGCTGAGACTTGTAAATCCCACAATGCCAAGTTGAATGCATAATTCTGGATTTGACTCTGAAGAAATTCCCAAAGAGCAGGGACAATCTGATAAATGAATCAAATTATAGATGTGGAAGAGTGCTTTGGAATCAAGAAAGATTCCTCCTAGTTTTCCCGGGTCAGAATGCCTTCGGAGGAGTCTATTGCTGTGGTGCAATCACAAGGTGTGGAGATCAGTATGAAGTTTTAATTCCACTTTTATGACCCTTTCTGCACAAGTCTTACATTAGCAAGGCTTCTCAGATATTACTGTATTAACTAGCATGGTATGTTTTCTGTCTTTTCTTATTAACTATCTCTGTTCTGAAAAGAAAAAGAAAAAGCACACCATTACATCAGTGGAGGGGGCTATAGAATCATAGAATCAGTTGGGTTGGAAAAGACCTCCGAGATCATCGAGTCCAACCCTTGGTCCAAATCCAGTCCATTTACTAGATCATGGCACTCAGTGCCACGTCCAATCTGCGTTTAAAAATCTCCAGGGATGGTGAATCCACCACCTCTCTGGGCAGCCCATTCCAATGCCTGATTACTCTTTCTGTAAAGAATTTTCTCCTGATATCCAACTTAAATTTCCCCGGCGGGCTTAAGCCCGTGCCCCCTTGTCCTATTGCTGAGTGCCTGAGAGAAGAGACCAACCCCCACCTGGCTAGAACTTCCCTTCAGGTAGTTATAGAGGGTGATGAGGTCACCTCTGAGCCTCCTCTTCTCCAGGCTAAACAACCCCAGCTCCCTCAGCCTCTCCCCATAGGACTTATGCTCCAGTCCCTTCACCAGCCTTGTTGCTCTTCTCTGGACCCGCTCCAGCACCTCAATATCCTTTCTGAACTGAGGGGCCCAGACTGGAAACCAATACTATTCTTCTACAGAATTTTGCTACTGCTTTGGAACAAAGGTGTCCACTCGTTAGGGAGAGCTTGGTTAGGTATCTGGCTTCTGATAAGAAAGTGTGTTTTTTTGCTAAATGGAAGTACAATGTTTCTGACTACTCACTTATGGTCTTTCTTGCAGACTGCAGCGATTCTCTGATGAAAAAAACCATCCCATGTATAAAGACAGGTAAAAATTTTTTAGTCATGTGGGCATGGATGCTATGCTGAAATATTTCTGATAGTTATGAAACGCAGGAGTATCTTCCCTACTTCCAGGCAGCTCGTGGGAACCCAGGATCCAGGGTAAAAGTCTAGATGATACAACTCTGCTCGTGAGCTTCACCCCATGGATGGAGCCAGCCCGATACCACATTCATGTGGCCAGTTACCTGCATGAGAAGAAGTGTAAAATGATCACACATGATTTCACTGAGGTAATTCCCATCCCAAATTATACCTTCTGTGGTGATTTAGACAAACGTCTCAGGTAGTTGCTAAACCAGGACTCGGAGCCGTGATGTAGGAGATTTTTCATTGCCTTTGGAAAGAGGAATGTTATTTCAGGAATTTGGTGGATAAAAGATCAAAAAAGAGGTTTTACAATTCGTGGAGCAGTCTATAAACATCTGCAAAGTCAAATTTGATGTTTGACTGGGCTTTACATTTTTCAAGCCAATGCCTAGGGAGGCTAAATAAATCAACCAAAACTGAGGTGCAAAGTTCCAATAAATCATTGAAGTACTTTATCAGATATGATCACGGGAGGGCATTAGTTAATTTTTTTAGATAAAGAATGAGTGCTTTAATAACAGATGTTTCATTCCAGCTGAGAATCAATTTCTGTAGTCTCACAGTCTGTGTTGCTGAGAAGCTCAAAGTGTCCGGAGTGTCTTCTGGCATGAGAAATGTTTCCCTTCAGGCATCTGAGGGAGGAGAAATGCTGAATATTTGGTACCAGTCCCCACCCCTCCCTGGGGGCAGGCAGATATAACAGCATTCAGTTTGTTTAATCTTCATTCCTTAACACTTAAAATCCTTTGTACTGAGTGCACTGGTATGCATTAAGTTATTACTGACACAGATTGTACACCTGTACATGTGTTTCCCTGGTAGAGAGGAATGTTCCTCATTCTGGAGTGTTTCCTAAGCATTGTAAAGAATATATTTAGATTGTCATGATATTGACTGTGTACAGCAGGTAACAAGGGCAACTTATTTGTCTGTTCTAATGTCAGAAGCAGCAGTGTTGACAGCTGCTTTTAATTAAACAAGGAAGCTTGTTAATGTTTACACATTGCATAACTAAAGATGTTTAGATTGTTTTAGAAACTGTAAGTTTAACTCATTTGAAGCTATACAATGTACATCCCTAGTTGTTTCCTGTTACCTGTGCAATCTTAGCCTGCTGTCTTAATTGTGTTACCGTGTCTGTGTCACAGGACACCCACAGTGATGATGGCCAGATCCCTTACTCATTTTGTTCTCTGTGGGCTTCTTGTTCCAAAGAAAGAAAATAGAAGCTTTTTGCTTCTTTGGACCATTCCATGTTCTCCAGTCAACTTATTTTCTTTTTTCCTGCTTTCATTCAATTTTCTTCCTTCCCTTACGACTGATTTCTGCAGGGTGGACTACAAGAGCAAGTGAATGTCACAATCAAAATAGAAAAGAACATAAAAGCTTGCTGCAGCTACAAAATACAGGTAGGATCTCACTCTTGTCCCTGTGTCCTTCCTTCACAAACAAGGCAATGAACAACTTAGGAATGTTACAGGGTTTTGCACACTATTTTGTTCTGAGATTGACTAATCTCTAATTACCTGTATTAAGGAAATACTGATTATGGCTGAAAGGACAATATTTTTTATATAGATGTTCTCTGTAGTCTGTGGCTTTTCCTTAGCGTAGGGCTGCCAAGTCAGAGACTGTGGAGTGGGAATGGCAAGTGTGCAACCTCAGGAGCTCCCAGCCTTCTTAACATCTAGTGTCAGAATCCTTGATCAACTTGTTTGCTAAAGGGAAATGGGAGTTCTGTGTCCCTGTGCTAAAATACAGGAAATATTGAGGCAAGGGGGAAATAAAACAGGGAACAAAATTGCTTTTAAGAATAACTTATGCTTTCTGAATTTATTTCAACTGCAGATTCAGCCATTCTTTGCGAACTGTGGCACAGACTGTCTGAGACACTCTGCTTTCATCCCATGTCCACCAGCTCCAAGTGAGAACCACTTTTCTGTAATCTAGACTCCCATTGGCTTACAGAGGAGAGCTGAATTTTTAATGTAATTCTTGTCTTTTGCAGGTGCAGACCCATCAGGTAAGAAGTTATTCTGATACCCTGAATCTTTTTTTTGCTGCTCTTTTCCTGTTGTATAGCATAAAAAATGATCCTCCCTGGGAATGACCCAATGAAATGTCCCTGTTGAAAATTTTACACTGTTTGAAGGTAGGTGAGTGCTTGTTTGACATGAGTAGCCAGAATTGTTGGGCTGCAAGTTGATCTTTTTCTGAATTATATGGCTGTGTTGTGTAAGTTAAAGACAGATCATAGTGAAACCTGGAGCTAACAATCTGAATGTTAATAATAGTTAGAATAGACAAAGCTATAGCTTAAATATTACTTATAATAACTAGAGTAAACAGGTCATGGTGTATGAAATGTAGCAAACCTATTGTATCATGGACTATATCACCCATGTGACTGTATCACCCAAGCCCCCCCTGAAACCAACCTCAGAGGATGTGAAGATGAGCACATGACAACCACTTGGTAACAAAACACCAAACCAGTGAAGGGCGAGGAGACCCCACACCCTAATCGTGCTGTTGCTCCAGACTGTTGTGTGAGGGATGGGGAATTTAGGTCATCAGGGCATAATTGCCCAAGGATTTCTTTGTTTGGTGTCCCTCTTTGGAGGCACCAAGGTCAAACTACCGGATACCATAACTGAGCTGTGCCAGTAGATCTGTCTGATGGAGATGAGAGCCTAGTGTCAAAAATTTCTCCAACAGTCCTCATGTAACACCGAGTTCAGAATTAATTGTGCTAAGAATTACTTCACCATGATTTAATGAGGCAAGTATTCGTATGCAGTGTGAACCTTAAAGAGCAATTTTTTTTTTAGATACACTTCACTTGCACAGAATTCTTTGAGAAGCAGTTTTGACAAGAGTCTTAATATAAAATACTTTCTGTCACTTTGCTCAGTGTTAAAAAATTTGCATAATATAAAGCAGCTTTTGGAGAGAATAGCTTGCATATATTCATTTTCATGAATGTCAAGATAACTTGTGCATAATGATTTGACATCTTTTTTTTTTGGCTACAACACCTGTAAGGAGCTGGTTTGCCCAAGATTGGGGGAAAAAAAAAAAACAAACCACCTGTAGACTGAAAAAATACATGACCCAAAATGGTGATCTTTTTTTTTATTTTTTTTTTTTTTTAAGATAGATTACATGAACAGGCAGGACATGGGCGGCATGCCTGTCAAAGCTGGGTAAACATTGCTATTTAGAGGAAGGTTATTGATCTGTGTTTTCAGTGTGCTGCACATATGGTTCTTTGTGTGGAGCAAGCTGATGGTGCAGAGCAGCATCATGAAAGCAGGAATTCATTTTGAGAAGTGACTGTATATTGTAAGAGGGAAGTGCTGGTCTACCCATGGTTTTGGGCACAACCAGGGTCCTCCTCCCTTGGCCCCCTCTGCTCAAGAAACTTCTGCTCTTTGGTGAAGCTCTGTTTGTGTAAGGCAATGTCTGAGGAGTATTTTTGTACTGCAGGTGATATGTTTATATGGCTCTACTGGTGTATCACTGGGATCTGTGTGTTACTGGTGGGATCAGTCATAGCAGGTGTGGTGTGTATGACTAAAAAACGAGCAGGTAAGACTCATACCAGCTAGGAAGAAAAAAATTCAATGCTAAAGCTGTATTTTTCCTACTTCTGTTGCTGTTTTGTTCCTTGCTGTTCTGATGCCTTACTGCTGAGATAATGCCTATGTAAACCCCTTTTTCTGTTTTGCATCTTAGCACTTGTAACGTCCTAATACCATCCACTAGATAAGTAAAGTCTTCCATGAGTTATGCTGTCTGGTACTTCATGTTCTTCATACACAAGTTCATAGCACTTCAGAGCTCATAAAAGGAAAAGGAACTTTGTAGTTCAGCCCTCATGCTGCAGAAATCTTTTCTGTTTATTTTTCTCCTGCATTGCAGCAGAGTTTTCCAGAACAGAAGCCCTGTTTGTCCACACTGTAGTCTTTTCCCTGATCCTGAAACTCTACAAAATTAATTTTTGTACTATTTAGGGCTTAAATAATGTTTTTTGATTAAGGTGGAAGGGAAAAAAACAGGACACAGAGGTTGACATCAAGCAAGCTGGAAAATTGGGTACTTAAGGGCTAATTCCTAGTGGTTTTGTGCTGTAGCTGTGAGGCAGTTACCACAGGGAAGCTGTGTAACTCACAGCTTAAGTTTTTCTTTTTCACCTGAGAGGAATAATTGGTAATCTTTTGGAAAATTTCTTAACACATCAGACTTACAGATAAGATGTAGCTGGGGACATTTTGGTCACCTCTTCAGAGAAGCCTCTTAAGAAAAAGCCATCTTTAAAAATGCCCTTTCTCCTTAAAGAGTGGTGGCAGAACAACTGGATGTTCTGTACTTCTTGAGACTGAATGGATCTAGGGGAGATAGAGAAAGTTTGTTTTAAGTGCATTCTGTCTTCTCTCAAAGGAAAAGTACATAGCAAAGTATTTGTTCAGTATATTTTTTATTAGGCTTCTTCCTCCCTATGGTTTTATCTCCCTGCACGACTAAGGATTGTTTATTTAACTTAATCTGTGGAAGGTGTTGTGATTTTAAGCACTTAATCTTATGTCTCAGAACTGACTGTGACTTTCTCTCTCTTCCAGGACGCCAACAAGGGAAATCCAACCACAGTGATTTGCAAACTGGTAAGATGTCCTGCCTGTGTTTTATCAAGCAAGTGTCATGTGTTCTGGAAGTCTCACACGGTTGTCCAGAAGGGCTTGTCAAAGGGTCTGCTATTCTATAGGTGCTTCTGAAAACCAACAGGTAGTGTTAGGATCTTTGCTGATACAGGCCATGGCAGTAGGAGATTGGTTTGGGCTGGGTACACTCAGGCCTCCACCAGAGAATATAGCTACATCTGCAAACCTCTTGAAGCTGATGTATTATTTTTGTGTGGTGAAATTCGATGAACCGTCTGGGCATTATTATAAGTCACAGCTCCCCTGTCTGTACTTTCATATTAAATTTGTACAACGAGATGTTGTCCACACGCGTCACCAAAATAGCATTAAAGCTGATAGTCACTAATACCTTTTGTTAATATCTATGTTGATTACTGCTGACTTGCACCATTACAATTTTGGGAATGTGGCTGCAATTAATATTTTTCTGTCTTTCATCAGCACCATATACCGACCTCCCCCTGCCGCCCTTGAAGCCCCGGAAGGTTTGGATTGTGTACTCTGCTGACCACCTGCTGTACGTGGACGTGGTGCTGAAGTTTGCTGAGTTCCTGATGACGGTCTGTGGCACTGCTGTAGCCTTAGACCTGCTAGAAGATCATCAGATCTCGGAGTTAGGGCCGTTGCCCTGGCTTACTCGGCAGAAGAAGGAAATGGAAGACCTGTCTTCAAAGATCATTATCTTGTGTTCTCGGGGCACCCAGGCCAAATGGCAAGCCATGCTTGGGAGTGAGCCTGTGTGTCTCAAACAAGATCAACAGAAGCCAATGGGAGACCTGTTCACCCCAGCCTTGAATTTGATCCTGCCAGATTTCAAGAAGCCAGCCTGCTTTGGGATGTACATAGTCTGCTACTTTGAGGGAATAAGCAGTGAGAAAGATATACCTGATCTGTTCAATGTCACATCCAGGTACCAGCTGATGGACAAATTTGAGGATATTTATTTTCGGATTCAGGATTTGGAGAAGTTTGAACCTGGGCGGATCCATCGAATCCAGGAAATCACGGCTGAAAATTATGTCGATACCCCCAGTGGGAGGAAGTTGAAAGAGGCCGTACAGAAGTTCAAGAGCTGGCAGACTGAGCACCCAGACTGGTTTGAGAGGGAAACCATCTGCTTGGATAATGATGAAGAATTGCATTCCCTAAACAGAGAGAGCCAGGTGGATTCATTGCTGAGTGAATCAAGTGGGATTGTGAAACACCAGCTGCACCTGCGTGAGCCTGACCCCAACTGCTGTTATGTCATCAACCTCCACATGCATGAAGGTGAAAATACAGGCTGTAAACTGCAGCCTCAACTTAATCCATGTGGGGATCCAGCTTCTCAGACTGTGGTCCTTCCTGTGGATGAGGCTCCTCTAGTTCAAGTAGTGGAGCCAGTCTCTCCCGTGGAAGACAGAAATGTACTTAGTCATCATGTGCTGAGTAATGAGAACTGTATGGAAGGAGTTCCTCTTCTGGAGACAAGCTTTCCAATGAGGAATAACATCATTCTCCACGATGACTCTGACGTTTCAGCAGTAGCTGACCACAGTCCTGCCAACCTCTCAGGTGAACTGAGGGACCATCTGAATGGGTTTATGTACCCTCTTTATCAACAGAGTGTCGTTCCTTCAGAGCTGTATCTCTGCCAGGAGGAGGCTGACGGGCAGCACCAGTTGGTCTTTGATGACCAGTGCAAAGACCAAAGACAGTCAGTGCAGTCAGACCAGGGCTACATCTCTAGATGTTCTCCTCTGCCTCCTGATGACCTCGTAGAGGAGGAGGAGGAAGAGGAGGAGGAGGATCAAGAAAAACAGGTAGTCTCCCATGAACTCTCTCCAGAGGTCTTGAACAGTCTAAGGAGCCTCCAGAAGCAGCTGTTTTTCCAGGACATTCAGAGGAGCTCTAACTGGAGCTATCCAGCTGAGGTGATGGACATTGACCAGTCTCTGGAGGACTGTTAGGTTCTGTCTGGGACCTGCTCCATTTGAAATACAGAGGTGGAAGGTGGTCCCGTGCAGAATACTGAAACTGCATTTCCAACACCATCCTTGTCCTTGTATTGTAAATGACTTAGCAGTGGGATCTGTCTGCTGCTGGGATGCAGGGTTGCCCAGCAGACTGGTGATGTTGCTTCCAGTCTCTGTGGGGAGAAGCAATGAATATTGCTCACCTCTGTGAAAGAACAGGCAGTAGCTCTGTTCCTTGGGGAAAGGCATTAAATTGAATCCTCACTGATAGATGGCAGAAAAATTACTGTGGCTTATCCACTCGTGCCTTCAAAATGCCCTCCAGCTGAACTGATGCTATTGCACTGGATAAAAGTCATGGCCAGGGTTTGGAAAATAGATTTAGATAGCATGGCAAAATGTGCATTGCCATTTCCATACACATTTTAAATGTTTTGTTGTAAATACTGTGTCAAAGATGTGTGCCTTAAATCTCAGCTAGGTTAGTGCTTTTTCTACCTGTTGATTCATATGCCTGAAGACTTTTCTTTTGCCACTCATCCATTAATTTCCAGCTGCATTTCCATGGTCATTCAGAAATCAAGTGGAGTAACTGAGCAGTAGGTGGGATAAACTTTTAAATTGTGAGTCTTCATAACTCTCCCTGCCTCCCTGCTGGGAGGTATGGGCTTGAAAACTAGCAATAGCAGGAAGGGGGAAAAGGGAGATAAAGGACCAAAAAATGGAATTTGGAGTTGTTGCACAATTTTGAGAAAAATCTGCGGCTAAATAGAGAATCTTTGAATTGGAAATCTGCTGTATCCTGCTACACAGTGCTGCAGTGCTGTTTGCTTTTGGGTATCTTGGCACCAGGGAGATGTGAACTGAAGATGTAGGTAGTGGCACACAATTAAAGAAATGAAAGACTATTTTGGAGGAGAAAAAAGCTCAGCTTCAGCAGACGCTGTTTTAGAGCGGAGGTTATATCTGAGTTATGGGAGGCTGAGTGAAAATGACTGTAACATGTACTTGTGTGGGTATAAACTCAAACACAGGTAGTTCAGGTTAACCATAGTGAAATACTGAATAGACCAAGGGGTTCATCCTCCAGGAGCAGTGATGGTAACTCTATCAATTCCAGTGTTTTTTAAAAATGGGGCTGAATGCACTAGAAAAAATTGTTCCCTGCGAGTAATGGCACATTGGCCCTTGTAGCACTGGCTGGGTAGCAGACTAGCTGAGGTTGGCATTTACCCTGTTTCTTATCACTGTTTCTGCAGCCCAGTGGACAACAGCCTGTGAGATGTAAATACACCCAGGTCTTTCTCCTGTGCCTTCAGACAAGCTTGTCGTCTTCCTGTCCTTCAAAGTTTACTTGTCAAAAAATCTTAGGATAATTTTATTTCAGCTTCTTAAAAGTCTGATGTCTCAGAGAATGATCTAGTTTTTGACTTGCAATGAATATTTTATTATGTATATTTTATAATTTTATGAATTGTGGGGGTTTTCCTTAAATTAAAAACCAAGAATACCTTTTGAATATATTTACTTAAAGAGTTCTATGTCCTCCATTCTGCCTAACTCCTTCTGTTAGTATTTGTTATAGAAATCTGAGGCAAAGCTGAGCCAGAACTGAACTGGCTCACAAATGCCAAAAAATTCCTGCAAAGCATGGCAGCTGTATTGAGTTGAGCTGGATACAACTGAGGGCCCTCACCTGTGGGAAGTGCACATCCCTTCAAAAGGAATGTCAAAGGAATTGTTAGTAATTCCCATGCATGACTGCTCCATGAGGCAGGACTGCTAAGACAGCTGCTTTCTCTGCAGCCAGATGATAAAGGGACAGTCCCTGAAGAGATCCAAACTTAAGACTGGGAGCCTTCCTACCTCTACAGGATCTAACCCAGCAGGAGCTAAGCAAGAGGCAGCTGTGATCTCAATGCTTCTCCAGTGAGAACCCATTTCCCAGATTATGTGAGTAATTGCCATCTTGATGATCCCACTTCTAAAAGTTTCTTTTATCTTAAAGCAATTAACATGTAAATCTGATTTTTTTTTTCCCCATGAGTCTTTTTCAAGTGGTATGAATTCCTATAAATCACTTAAATAGGAAGCTCAGAAGTGTCATCTGGATTTTCTTGCCTTAGTCATTCCCTTCTCAAATAACTCCCTTGGTGTTAGAGCTCTTAGAATTTGCTTTCACTCCCAAAAAGTTTGTTTGATGGGAAAATCCAGGCGCTATTTTAGCAATCCAATATGAGGAAAACAAGTAACTGTAATGCATCTGTTGGTCCCTGAATACAAAATTGAATAGCCCAGCAAAACTTAAAGAAAAAAAAAAAGGAGCAAAATCAGTCACAAGTTTCTAACTTTATTTTAACAATCTTGCTTTTTAAAAAATACAAGTTCTAATTAATGCCAGGGGGATGCCAAGTGTCCATCAGCCACAGGCCTTATCTCTCACTTCAGTTTCCCCTCCTGAGAGTAGTCAACTCTTTTGTCAGGATAGCAAACAAAGAGCAATAAAATTCTAAATAACTGAGTAGTGTTACAAGGCTTGTGACAGAATCCCAAGGGACCTACGTCTTAGTATGGCACAATTTTGTTTAGCAAAGTGTTACTGACCTGGACCAGTAATTTAATGTTGGGAGAATATACAGTAGGTGTGCAAGGTGCATCGAGAGAGGTATTGCTTGTACTTTAATAGTACCACTATCTCTCTTTTCTGCAAACAGATCTGTTATGTGGCAGAGGGGTTTAAATGGAAGAGTGAGCTCAATTACCAAAGAAAAGGGAATTCAAAAGGTGGAGCGGGCTTATAAATGAGACATTGAAGAGCTTTAAATGATTTTCTGTAGGAAGTAATTGCAGTAGCAGCAGAGGTGCCCTTTTAGTTGCAAGGAGGCTTCTGTATAGCCAACTACTACAAGAGCTTTATACTCTCCAAACAGCACACCTACTACCAGCCTAGAAACCATGGCACCACAAAGAACAACTTTTTCTACCAAGGAATTCTATACAACAGAAGCATCATTTTGCAGGGTCGTCTGTCCCAGGCAACCTTTTCATCCACGGACAAAGTTGAACTGTGATTTCACTGCCAATGATTTAAGTATGCCATGGCTAGATAAATTTCAAATATGCCATTTTTCTCAATAATGTCCTAACTGGAAAAAGGCACTCAATGTTGAAACAGCAACTTTATGTGCTATGAAGGGGTACTGAAGTAAGACTTGTTAATAATTCTGCTGTGATTCTTCTAGTGTCCCAACTATGTTTACACTTCAGCATATCGATGCTATTGTGAAGTTGGCCATAGGAGCAGCAAAACATAGTTGTTGAATAGCTTTTTTTCCTTCACCTTGTTTTGGGCAGTGTTTGTTGTTTGGGGATTTATTTTTTATTTCTTCAGCTGTTTGACTGAAGCATGGAGTAGTCCTAGGTTCAGGTGTCACCTCATTCTCTCTTGAGTAATTATTTCTGAGATTTTACTGTCTACTTAATGCTGAAAAAGGAAGGTGCAAGGAAACAAATATCTGTACAAGCGTAATACACCTGTAATTACACCTCCTTTGGCCAGGAACTTAGCATCCCCTCAACACATTTCACATCACACAGGAAAAGTTCACAGTACCAAGTTTTACAATCACGGTCACTCACAGCACCAAGATTGTCCAGACAAGAAGAAGTTACCGAAGAGAAAGGCCACTGGCCAAAATTCACACAATTGCCCACGTAAGGGCTCAGGTAATAAAGCACTGGTGGGAAAGTTAAGCCTAGCCTTTGCCAACTCTCCGTTTGGCAGGAGGAGAGCAGCAAGTCCACCATCCTAGCTGCACTTCTGAACAGAACAGCACTATTGACCCATCTCTTCCAGGGGCTTTTCTAGCCCCTCAAAACCCACCAGCCACTGAGAGCTGGGGGAGAAGAGCCCCATGGCATCCCTGCTTCTGCCTCTGGGAGCTGGAAGTTACCAGACTGTAAACATTTTGTTGTAGCAGTCCACTGGAGCAGGCAGTTGATCCCACTCTGTGAAAAGGAAGGTGGGACAGAGGCTCAGTCCCACTGAAGCCCAAGCCCTGAAGGAGAGAATGAATGTGTGTGCGGAAGAAGTCTGGGCTGTGCCTGCAGTCCTGCTCTGGGTAGCAGTTGGTTGTGCTTTATTTCTCCTTCCCATCAGGACAGCTCGAAAAAAAAATTTGGGACAGGAAACTGTCATTTTTCACGATTATTGCAGCCTTGCCCAGATAACAAAACATAAGCCTGGGAGGGGCAAAGTCCTTCCTCCAAATGTGGCCTGGTGCTCCTGCTCCCAGGGGGCTGGTTTCAGGAGCAGCTGCAGCCAGGCAGAAGAGCAGGCCTTAACCCCACCGAACATTCATGGAGCTTAAAAACAAAGAAAACTGTTTCTATGAGAGGTTACTAACAATTAAGTTTTTCCCCTGCCTACCCTAAACCACATGCACAAGGAGGACAGGATGCTGATACGTGGGGCTTTCACCAAAGCTCGGGGAGCCCCTCTGCCTTGAGGGCTCCTGCAGCACTTTGCTTTCTGTGCTGAAAAGTGAGGTTCACTGAGCATGGGGCCCACCCTGAGCAGCGCCAGCGTCCTCTGCTTTGCTGTTTGAGAGGGGGCAGCTTCCAGGCTTAACCCTGTCTCTACTCTCTCAAGCAGGCATGGAAGGGGGCTAGAGGAAATCTTTCCAGCCTTTCTGGCTGCGTAAAGGAAGACCCTACACTCTGTGTAAAAAGAAAACCAATGCTGATCCCATAAACATGCATATTCACAGAGAAATGAGAGCCCCAGCACCTGGGGATGCAAGCAGTAGGCTGCTGTAAACCCTGTTCTCACCAGAAATAAATGTCTTGGTGGTTATGAAATGGGGCCTAAGCCCAGGTTCATGTCCATGCTGGATTCATGTTTCTTCAGCATGTGAAGTCAATGTAAGATGCAAAAGGTTGAAGCACAGAGGTAGACATTTTTGGCTAGGAGAAGGTGGCTCATGGGCTTGAAGTGACCAGTCGGCCAGCGTGCTTCCAGAGGTTCCCCAGCTGGGATGCAAAGGCCTGGGAAACAGAGGCAGCAGCTTTGCAAGACCTAGGGAAGCCAAAGCGTGCTTCCTTCCGTCCTTCCTGCATCCCGGAGGAACGTCTCTGCTGGTCAGGCCCCTGTCGCATCTCATTGTTGTGGACAGCAGGAGTTCTTAAAAGAGGGGACAAAATGCACTGGTCCCTGTTGTTTAGAAGGAAAAGGAAAAACTAAACTTTTATGGTCACAATGCAACACAATGTCCTGGCAGGGAGCGGGAGGGGAAGAATGGGACCCTCCAGACAGGGGAGAGACAGAAGCACTCGAAGAAGTCCTGTCCTGAAGGGCAGATGCGTTTTCCGGGGACAACTGTCATCCGTAGGCTCCTGCAGGTAGTCGGGTTTGTGCGGAGCTTCCGCTGCTGGATTCGTCCATGAGAAAGGGAGGAGAGGAGAGAGAGTCTGACAGGGAAGCCCACGTCCCCTTCCCCTGCTCGGCCACGGAGACAGGAACCTGAGCAGAAACGCAGAGAGACTCTGCCGGGAGCGGACCCGGAGGCGGCGGGAGCCCCTCCGGGGGGGCGGCCAGGGGGGCTCAGCCCTGGGCGGTGACCGCCAAGGCGTTCACGTACCCGTGGGGTCCCACGTCCACGTCGGAGAGCCCGTGGGCCAGCGGGGCGGCAGCGGGGGCGGCGGCGGCGGGGCCGTACTTGGCGGGCGGCGGGGCGGTGACGGGGCGGAGGAGGCAGCAGGTCTCCAGCGCCTCCAGCCCGCGGCAGGTCAGGAAGAAGAGGTTCTTCAGCATGAAGAGGGAGAGCGGCTGCTGGTAGCGCAGGAGCAGGAGGCAGCGGAGCGCCAGGAGCGGCGCGTCCAGCAGCCCGGCGGGCAGCAGGAGGTGCAGGGCGAGGCGGGCGGCCCCGGGCGGGCGGGCGGCGCTGAGCTCGTAGAGCCACAGCACGGGCGAGGCCAGGCAGAGGAAGTAGACGGCGATGAGCAGGTAGCGCAGCGGGGCGGGCAGCGGCGCCGGCCGCCCGGGCTGCAGCACCAGCTCCAGGAGGGAGAAGCTGTCGAGCAGGTCGAGGCAGGTGGCGAGGAAGGCGGCGGCGGCGCGGTGCTGAGGCGGCGGCTGCGGCGGCAGGAGCAGCTGCCCGGCGCCCTCGGTGCCGATGGCCCGCAGCAGGCAGTACAGCAGCGGCGCGGACAGCGCCAGGGTGATGCGGAAGCCGGTGGTGCCCAGCGGCAGACGCAGCTCGATCAGCTCCAGGATGGAGGTGCCCAGGATCAGCGCCGCCTTGGGCGTGAAGGCGATGGAGTAGATGAGCCAGGCGAGGTGCGCGTAGGCGAAGTCGCCGCCGCGGGGGGGGACCCCGGCCCCGCGGCCCCCGGCCCCGCGGCCGCCGGGGGGGCCGTGCAGCAGCAGCGGGTGCGGCGGCGGCGGCCCGGGGGGCGGCGGGGGCCGCTCCCGGCGGCGCGCCCGGCTGTTGCGGCAGAAGAAGATGCCCCAGCCGGCCGCCAGCACCAGGTCGGTGGCGATCCAGCTGCACCAGTACAGGTCGGTGACGGCGATCAGGTAGAGGTCCAGCAGCGCGCCCTGCCCCAGCAGCAGCACCAGGGACAGCGCCTGGAAGCCCCAGCGGCGACCGCCCCCAGCCCCGCCGGGCCCCAGCAGCGCCCCCGCCGCCGCCCCGCCGCCCCCCGCCCCGCCACCCGCCGCCGCCGCCCCGTACAGCTCCGCCGCCGTCATGCTGCGGCCCGGGCTCCCGCCGCCGCCGCCGCCGCCGCCGCTGCTGCTGCTGCTGCTGGGGAGCGGCGAGGCGGCGGAGGGCAGCGGGGTGGCGGGCGGCGGCACCAGGGGCTTGCTGATGCTGATGCTGTCCTCCTCCTCCTCCTCCTCCTCTTCCTCCTCTTCCTCGGTGCTGCTGCGGGGGCTGCGGGGGCGGCGGGCCCGCGCCGAGCCCGAGCTCGACCCCGAGCCCCGCCGGCTGCCGCCGCTGCTGGAGCCCCCCGGGAAGAGGGGCTGCCGGTCGGCGGCGTGCGGCGGCAGCGGCGGCGGCGGCGGCGGCGGCGGCGGCTGGAAGGAGCCCGAGGAGGAGGAGACCGAGCGCTGGTTGGAGGCAGCGCGGTGCATGGTCCTCCCCGGCCCCCGAGCCGGCGCGCCGGGCCCGACGGCCGCGCCGCGGCCCCCGGCCCGCCCCCGGCCCGCCCCCCGCGCCCCGCGCCGCCGCACCGGGCCCGGCAGCGGCAGCGGCAGCGGTGCCGAGAGCCCGAGCGGCGGCAGCCGGGGGGGAGCCCGGGGGCGGCGCCGCGCTGCAGCAGCAGCAGCTGCCGGAGCCGGGGCGGGCGGCGGGGGGTGGGCTGGGGCTGGGGCTGGGGCCGGGGGAGCGGCTGCGCGGCCGGGGAAGGGGAGGAGGGGGGCGAGCAGGGGAGGGGGAGGAAGGCTCCCCCGCCCTTGTCCGCGGGGCTGCCACAGAGCCACGTCTCGGGGAGCGTGGCCCCGCCGCCTCCTGTCCCGCAGAACCCCCGTGGATGGAGCTGGCCGGGCTTGGGCGAGTCGCCCATGGACATGCCACAGCATCCCGGCAGCCACTCCATAAATGCTCTGCTTCCATAAAATCGGAAGTATTTCAGTCTACCCTGATCTCCCTAGACTGACCAAGACAAAGGCCAGTTGGCCTGGCACAGAGCCCGCAGTGAAGCACACTCATGACTTCTCATCTGTGCTGCTGGACACTCATCTGCCCCTACATTCGGTCTCTTGTAAGTAATTGTTCATCAAAGGAAGTGTCTTTGACCCCACCAATTTCCTGGGTTGAGTCAATCCACATGCTGAGAGCCCTGCCCAGCTTGCCATGATGGGACAGTGGCTTTAAATTGATGTGAATAGTCCTAAAGTTCCTAATTCTGCTGAAAGCACCTATTGGGACTTTTATTGACTCACTAATAACGGCCTCAAATTGAGCTTGGCTGGCTGGATCTGCTCACCACCAGCACTAATGACTTGGTACATCATGTTTCAAGGTAGCTTGATGCTCAGCATGACTAGTCTCTCATTCCTACCTGTGCCTGCCAGTGATGAGCCAGCTGCTGCCTGTCAATGACATGATACCCATCAAATAAACTGTACCCCCACAACTGTATTAACCACACTTTGTGATAAAGATAAAAAATAGCTTGATTTTTGAACGTGTTGCTAAATCAACACATGGGCCTGAGCAAAACACAGATGCTTAGTACTGGGAAAGGGCATCCAGGACAGCAGTGACAAACATCTAAGACATGGTGGTGCAGGCTCCCTGAGAAGCCCTACTCCAGTCAATGTCCCTGGCTGCTCCTGAAAACAACGAGAAATCAGTCTGGGGTACTAGGAGAATTCATGCTTAAACTTGAAACAAAGAAATAATTGAGAAAGGGAAGGGGAGAACTTGAGCTGGGTTGACACAAAGATTTCTTTAGACACACAGCAATGGTCAGGAGGAAAAGCAGAGTAAGAAAAAGAGTCACAGCAAAAGCATTGCTGCCAATGGAGCTTTGAGTGAGGGGCACAGTCAAATCAGTTTTCTAAAAGCATGGTCAAAACAGAGGGAAAAGGAGAAGGAAACTGGAGGCTATGCAAGCTTTAATGTAGTTACTTGGGCAGCACAGTACTGAACCAGTACCACCTCTAAACTGGGGTAGCATCATGCAGGTGTTCCCACAGTCTCCCACACTGGTTGCTGTCCTGCTTCTGAGTCCAGGCTGCTGCATCCCTGCTGCCGTAACCTGCATGGCTGGGTTGCAGTTAAGATGGGGGACATCTATTTTCTGCTACACTCACATTATGTTTTCGATGCTTGGATACACTTGCCAGGGATCAGCCTTACATCAGCGCTACTCCTGTCATTGCCTTCCTCTAACTCACCTTGTCATCATATCTCGCATCAGAGGACACTGAACACGCATGCGCTCTCTTCCTAAGGGCTTTCTCGATAACTCCACATTTCCATTAACAAATAAAAGTACTTCATTCTAAGAAGGTCAGTAATTATACCATATCATAAGGAACACGAGCATCCAAAAGAACAGTCTAGCCTGGAGGGTGGTGAATGGGCTGATGCATCCAAGCCTGGTGCCAGGATGGAGAACACAAAGCTTCACCCCAGGGCAAAACAGGCAGGACACCCACACAGATGCTCATGGAAGGCCCAGGATGCAGCAGGCAGTACCACGACCTTTGTAACTCTGAGAAGCATCACTGGCATTTGCAAGTTTAGGATCAGGTGAGTCCAAGGAAGGCTGTTGCCATCTATTTTCCCAGCAGGTGACTGTGTGGCAGCCTGAGGCCAAGGACCTCTCACATCTGGCTTCCAATAGCCCTGTATTTAGTCCGGGCACCTCGTGGGCCTCTGCCAAGGTTCTTGGCCTGGGCATCACACCTCTGGCACACCCTCTGCCACATGGAGCCACAGGGCTGCCCTTCCCCAGGGGCTGCTCCCCATGATCCACATCCCACGTCAATGCCTGAGAGGCACTGCCATGTTGCTGCCTCCATGGTGACATAGGTGACACTAGTCCCTCTGCATTGTGGGGGCCCACAGCAACCCATCACAGGAAAACAGCAAGATTTTGTGTGATGGAAGCAAGACAGCACTGCTCTCAGCCGAGCAGCTTAGCCTGCGCTCATTCAAGATGCAAGAAGACAGTGAATAGTGAGCCCCCCCTCCCCTTCTTTGCCAGACATGCTCCCACTGTGCTGGCTTTGCTCTCCAGCCTCTCAGGGTGTGTGGACTGTGTCAGGGATGAGAGCACTGCACCTGGGCTCTGCTGCCGAGCACTGTGTGTTTTGCTGGCAAGGCTTTGTCTCTCTGACAGACTTGGCTGCCAAAGAAAAACCCCTGACCAAACAATTGCTTAGACTGCAATTTTTGCACAGCCCCGCCAACACTTTGCTTGGGGCTCTGTGGATGGTCTCTGTTTTCTAGAGAGCACAAGGCTAGAGGCCAGGCCAAGGAGGATGATTCTGCCTGTGTCACTCTTTCATGTTTGAGCAGGGCCCAGTGCTCCTTGACAGATGTCTGAAGTTGCCCAGTTCAGGATGGCTCAGAGTGGCAGTAAGGGTTTGTGAACACCAACTGTGTCTCCTAATTTGGTTTCCACCAAAAGGCTGCTTTAGATGGCAGTGAAAGTGTCTCTGGTCCAGGGCAAAGGATATAACCACTTTCTTATGTTCTGGATCCTGGCCTTTATCCAAGGTGGGCGTGTTCACCTGACACTTCTAAGGGCAAGCCAGTAGTTGTGTCACTGGCACGATTCATGTGTGGTCAGTCCTGAGAATTAACTCGATTGGTCTTGATCCTACCACATTCACCTATTCCACTGGAAGAAGAGTTTTCCACTGGTATGAGAGGACGTGGAGTGAAAACCATGCATCCATCTGGGCTGCTCAGGGCAACAGCCCTCACGCTGAGAGGGCTGGTCCTGCCCTACCTGGGCAGCAGACGGTGACAGCTTTGCCTCGTTGGCTCTTATCCTCTGGGTTTCCTGGGCGATGCGATTCCCTGTGTGCCACAGGCTGGACATGCTCAACTTAGCTGCCCTGGCAGCCTGCCAAAGACACTCACACCTCCTCTGCTTTCAGTGGAGAAGCTTTGTTTCACAAAGGCTGTCCGGTGTCTGTCCCACCTGCTTGGGTAAGTGCAACTGGGTGGGGATCCCTGGGCTTTGGGAGGGATGGGCTGTTGCCCACAGCTGGTGTGCTGATCTGGGGAAATGGGCTCTGACATGGCAAGCAGGTGGTGCGGTGAGCCCAGCCCAGGGGAGCTGGGGTGGAGCTGTGTGCTAAGTGAAGGGGCACCTCCTGCACTCCAGGATCACGGTCCTGCTGGGATAAGGCTGAGCAGGGCAAGAGGAGGCTTATGGAAACAGTTCTCCAAAGGCCAAAGGACACCTACTGGAGCTGTGAAGGCCCCTGTGTCCAAGGTGGGTAGGTGGAAACAGGGACCTGCAGCTATAGGGAAGCTCGGAACAGGGATGACGGAGCACCAGGATGGAGAGTGGGAGCTCAAGGGCTTCCTTGGGGTGACCACAGGCCCCAGCACTGCAAACCCAACCCAAACAAATAGGTGAGAATAAGAAAAGAACTTGTATGTGGGAAAGGAAGCAGAAATTGAAATTGTGCCTTAAAATGGGAGGGAGGGGAGAAATGTCTTCTACTTGAGAAGGCACTGAAGAGCTTTTTGTAGCACACTGTAGGATGAGATATGACAAGCTGATGCTTCCCGTGTGATCTGGTTATTTAATGCAATGTGCAGTCCTTGGAAGTGTTAGTGCTTAACTATTACTGTTAAAACATTAAAAAGCTAAACTATAAATAGCTTCTATAGCAGTTCCCAAGCTATGTTTCTGGGTTCTTTATGTATTGATGTGTATGCATAGTGATGTGTGTGTATACATATATTTGAAGACAAGCAGCAGACAACAGAGTTTTGTGAAACAGTCATACTGAATATCTGAAATGCTACCACTTCTAGTTTACACTACTAGTGGAAACAAGTAGTGTGCCCTCAAATATACCCCTGCTGGGGAAAGGCAAAACTTTCTTGAGGACTGAACTTGAGAGGAAACAAAATAATGACTCAAGTTCTTGGGAGAAGGGAAAGAAAAAAGAAAAAAAAAAAAGAGGCAGATATATGCCTGAAAGAAAGACCAGAAACTAAATACCTAATTATACCCTGCAGTAAGCTGTCAGAAACTGGCAGCAGTGGGAGGGAAGGAGGCAAAGCTGATCTCAGTGAGTTTGAGCATAATCTGCTCTAACCATACTTAAAATGCCTTTTGTGTGGGAATGGAAGGTTCTGGTATTCTCTGACACATGCTTTGTACTGCACTTATCTAATCCATTCAAACGGTCAGGGCTGAAGTTACAGACAAGTGTAAAAGAGTCTCACCTGGCCAGCACCAAAATTCAACGATGCCTCAGCTTCTGAATGCAGTCTTTGTAACTAAACTGCTGATCCAGTACTACAGTTCAGGGAACACAGATACTCTTCAAAAGGATATACAAGTGTAACAGTCTATTGCTTGTAATTACACTTCGGTTCAAAGAGTTTTCGATGCCAGCATAAAATGCCAAGACATTTCTTCCCATGCTTGTAGCAGGGCAGGGGTTTGGAGAGTGGATTTGGGGTTTGATCTTGTTATTTTGTACTTCCTCAGTCTTAGCATTCAGTGTGTATTGAACTGACCCTGAGGAGAAAGTTCTTAGCAGTTGAACTGACTGAAAGGGAAAAGTGGGTTTGTCATAGTGAATTTAGAGACAAGTGTTTTATTGATGGAAGTTTGGTTCCTTGAGAACGTGTAGCTGCCTTGCTGGTGTGGGATTTTAAACTGTTGCAGACCTGGATCTATAAAGGTCTTAAAGTGCATAGTTTTCATCAAATTGACTGTGACAGTAAAAAACATAAAGACTTGTGCTTTTACAATTGGGGTGAGTAAGATTCAGTAATGGAAGGGTTTGGGCAGGCCCCCAAAGGCAACAGTTACCAGGGCGAGCAGGTAACTGCATAGCTTGTGTTCAAGGCCCACCAGTATCCACACACTAAGCACTTTCCAGGGGTTGCCCCGGTAGGCACTTCTCACAGCATTCACCTGGGAACAAACTCCAACTTAAATAGGGCTCCCAATCCTCTTTTTCCAGTTGGTCCTTCTTCAGTGTTTCACAGTGCTGGTGTTTAACTCTGCACCTTATGGTGGTTAAGGATTTCTGTGGGACCTACCTTCCACCTAAGGCTGCCTCGAAGGGACACCTGAACCCCAGGCTGCCCTTTTGCTTTGACAACAGTGTAGTGATTAAAAGCATTCATCTGAGAGGATCAGGTTGTGATCTCTTTCTGCTTAACTAAATCTTGATATGACCTATCTTGGGTGTGTGATCCATCTACCAGAGTACTTGGTAAAAGGAGGATGCTGGTTAACACTTTTTATTATTACAGGTCAGGGACATAGATCATTTCTCCAGGATGTAGAATATAATTCTATTCCTCTCTCTGCTAAGAATGGGAATCCTTGCCCAGTCCATCCAAAACAGCTTTATTGATTGTTGCTTTCAACACCAAGATCTCAGGACTCTACATCATGCTTGTTTTGCTGTCTAATGTGACTCCTGTGAGCTGTGAACTTTGTAGATGGAAAACTTTCTGATGGAATATGCTATAAGAACAATGCAAGCGAATTGGCTGTTCCTAAGATCATTAAAAATGACTGTTTCTACCTGGAATCTTTAATTTTCCATTTGCTGTAGTCAGTGGACGCTTTTGGCTTTAATCCGAAAGTTAATACACGTCTCCCTAATTCCTCACCTTTTTTAAAAGGTACCAAAGCATGGCTCTTGTCAAACAAGTTAGGTTTCTTTTACGATCACAAAGGATTTAACATTGAGTCAAATAAGCTTCCAGTGATAAGGATGGCTTCCCCTAAGTCCTTAGGCTTGTTGTTCATCTGCAATAGCAGATTAGGTTGGTGGCATCAAGCTTGTGGTTTCCCCACACAGTAGACATAATCATCACAAACAACTGCTTAGGACAGGTCACAACTAAATGCCTACCCTGAAAGTATCTCACATATAGGTGGTATCCCAAAATTCATCTTGACTGTGAACAGTCAGACCACAGCTTGTGATGTGTCCTTTCCCCACCTCTACAGAGTAGGTTGCACTCATCTCACCTGACTATGGCAGATGTAGAGTTCACAAGAGATTACAATTTGGCTCAGACAGAAGAATTGCTGGAGAAGTATCTTTTAGGGTAGTCCCCTCAAGAAAATCTGATAACAGCTTGATGAACACACAAAAAACCCCCAGCATTTGCCCTAATAATCCTCTGGGGCAAAGATGTGAAAGAGATCAGGACAATAATCATTAAATGTACACACAGCAAGTTAAAATTTATTTCAAAGAAAACATCTTTTATTATTTTATATATGTTCTAGATCAAAGTAGCAACTCTGGAACTGCATTGAAATTAACATGAAATCTAAAATAATCACAGCTTCTGATCTCTCTGAATGATATGTAATCACTCTGCTACAGTGCACAGGACACAATCTGAAACATTACCCATTTATTAAAGGGAGAAAGACGTGGCAGGATTAAGATTGGAAGAAAGGGAACAGTAGTGCTATATGGCTCCCTCAATGCCATGTTAGTAGTTGCATGTGTCCTGTGGAATAAAGGAATTGACTTCTCTGGCCACAGTGTTATTGCATGACATAAAAGCTCTCTACTTCAGATCCAAAACAAGGTCTATCCCCCTCGGTTCCTTCCTGCTGTTCTCAGCTGCATACTCCCTTTAAGCTTGACTTAAACCTGTTCATCTTTGGAAGATGGACTTGTTATGATTAGGTCTTCACCCTGTTTGTTGTATAGGGCAGTGCACCACATAAATATTAAGGTATGGGATCAGCAGTGAAGTCCCCTCTCCAGCTTGGTCCCATAATCCGCACAGAAGTGCAGTGTGCTTGCTCCAAATAGAGAAATATGGCCTCAGAAATACCACTTCTGTGCAATACGTGAGACAAAGGAAGAGTTTTGTTCCGGCCACACTCGAAGCTAATTCCAGGAAGCTACAGTTCCAAGGAAAAAAGATTTCACTGAATTCTAGCAGTAACAGATGTCTATAAATGAACTGCGGATAAGCTAGATGTCTGCACAGCACTCTAGCACAAAACTCGTGGAACAGAAGAGACCTGGCAAACACTTCCATTAACAGAGACCTTCCAGAATCAAATCAGTGTCTAACAGCAGCTGGAAAAGCCAGATTTCTTACTCCATCAACTGGGTCCATGCAATTCCTAGGCAGGGACTTGGACAAAGTGCACTGTTTTAAGGAGCTGAGAAAGAGAAGAGGGGAAAGGTCTTCGTGTTGCTCAGAACAAGGGTTTGGCTAATTAGTGCACAGAGCAACAAGCAAAGTCTTTTATGAAACCTTACTTGGTAAAAATTGGGGAAAGGGTACGAGATTCTTCTAGATTCCCTCTCCTCCCTTCTGTCCAATTTCAACTCGCAAGCAAAGCATTTCTTAAATTCCTTATCACTGAAGTTCCTCCTACGCATTTTTAAGACTCCCAGAAGACTCTTTCAACACTAACATGGTGAAAAAAAACAAATCCAGAGCTAAAAGCAGATTTGGAAGCTGAAGCAGATTCACATCAGTCAGCTCACCTCCCTCCACTGCTATTCCAAAGATGGAGATGCCTGGCTCACTCTCTGTGCAAATGCAAACCTCTTCCTGTCTTGAAAGAGGTGCTACCTCCCTCCTCCTGCTACCTACCTCGCTTCTGGCTGGGATGTGCCATGCATGCTGATAGGAAATTACTGCTTGGGATTTCTCCCCCCAAGGGAAGGCTGGTTCAGCAGCACCTGGTCTTTTGAGTAACCAGCACCACTGTTTTTACAAGGAACAGGACAGAGCCCTGCCAAAGGTTGCTGCGCACACAGGTGGACAGACCTCGGTATTTCAGCAGGAAAGTGCCTACCACACGCAGGGTGTGGCTCACATTTACTGCCAGCAACCAGCCCAATACTGCAAGCAAAGGGAGCATTCCTCTTTCTGCATCAGATGGTACCTCTGAAAAGCATGCCTGAGGGACACTGGAGCTAGTTTATGAATAAATGTGTTTTGGACCTCCAGTTCCAGGCCTTGCACTCTGGGCCTACAGCACAACTGTGACTGTGGAGATGCACTGAAAGCTAAAAGGACCTTCCTTATGTTGTATGTGAAGTCCTTCACTGTGCTAACTCTTCTGGATACTGGAGACAGGCCCTTGTCTTGTGCAACTGGATGAAATAGTAATTTTTCTCTCCAGTGATAGGGAAGGATTCTGTGTTTCTCACATTACAGCTGCTTTTAGAAGTAGCCAAGTGATTCTTGTCCTGATGAGACAAAGGAGGACAACCCCAAGCAGTGCTAAGAGAGGAAGAAACTTCCCACTATGGATTTCACAGGAGGAAAATTCATGCAAAGAGAGATTTTTCTGCCCCAATTCATAAAGTAAGGGATAGAGAAAGAAGCCACAGAGAAGGACTTCTTTTGCCTGGGTCACTGACAGAGTATCCAGTCCTCTTCAAGATGCAGAGTCTGGCACAACAAAGAACAGAGCCTGCACTGCAGTGGCCTTCTTGGAATACACGTAAGTATTGAGAGGATGGAGAGCTGCTGAAGCAGAACTTCAGTGCACATGGATGCTGAGACTTGAATTAAGAACTCAAACTTCTGTGCAGAACATTTTGTTTGTACCCTGTGTATGGAGCTGCCTAGTAAAGCAGGAGGGAGGGAAGAAGAGGCAGAGCAGATCTATTTCTGATCTTTCAGTGTTGTGTGAGATGAGTAGAACTAGGAACACCAACTCAGTTGTGTTGGCTCCAAGGCTTTTCACCATATGCACAGACTGATATGTGCTTCTAAAGTCACAATGCTCCTCTAGAATTAAGATACTCTTTGCTGGGCCAATCTTTCACATGAGTTTCTCATGCAATCCTTGCTCATCTTCTTTGTAATGTCTACAGAGACACAAGTCTTGATCTTTCTCTGGACAGCCTGAGCTAAGAGAATAGAGGCAATAGAAGGTGGATGTTGTTAGGGACACGGAAATGTTCCTGGGCAGGCAAGTTCCAGTTGCTAATTCATGTTAGGGGGACTCTACCTGCATGTTAAAGAAAGAGGAGGGAACAGAGGTCAGACCATATGCATATCCCTGAGCTGCAAATCACATGAGAGGAAGAAAAGAAGTGAAATACAGAGAGACATTTGTATTCTTAAAGATGAAGACTGGGGATTTGGGACTTTGGTACCATCCTGGCTTGATTTTCTTTTTAAATCCTTGCATGTAAGGAAGGAGCAAAAGTGGACTGTGACTCTTTCTGTTTAACCTTTGTTCCAGTGAAGGGCTCCTCTTAGAAGCTGTGCCAGCTGGAGCAGGTGGGTGGTTGTTGCAACAGTTGGGATCAGGGCGGGTGCCAAAAGAGCCTCTTGCTGCAGCACTGAGTCCTGGGCAAAGACAACTTTGGAAATTCAGACTCTGTGGTAGTTTCCTCTGCTTCTGAGAGCAGGCTGCTGGCTCCCTAGTGGGATGTGAAAAGGTAGGAGTGTTCACAGAATGCTAAATAGGCAGAAGTGAACAATATAACTTTCACCTCAGCCCTGCAGCAAGTTGCTCTGGCTACTGCAGCTTCCTTTGAGGGGCCTTGCCTCTCCATAGCTGCCAGAGGACTGCGAAAGAGGACTTTGTTTCAGACTGACAGTGATGCAGTGGCAAATCCCCGAGCAAACAGAATTTGTTAAAGTCCATAGGCACTTATTCTTTACAAGGAGAATGTTAAGACTTAAAGCCTTCTCTTGGCACAGTGCCACCACAGCACAGCTTCTGGTGTGCTCGTGTCACAGACTGGACAAACAGCACACTGCAGGAATGGTACAGTGGCCGATGGGAGCTCCTTGCATGGGAAAGAGCTTCATCCTCAAATACACTGAGAGGAGGAGGGTGGGCTTGCCTGATCTTCACACACAAAGGGGGGAAAAGAAAGAACTCTGATAGCTGAACAAAACTGGGATTGCTGGGACAAGCCTTCTCCCTATACCCTGTTTCCATTACGGCTCAATTATTGACGTACCGTCACAGTCAAAAGCCTGTAGGCAGCTGTCAGGATTGCAGAGGAGTATCAATAAAAGTAAGGGGCTTTTAGTGCTTTAGTTTTCTTTCATGTTGTCTAGATCAGATCACTCCAGGTCTCTCCCCATTCTTCCCCTCTTCCCTTTCCAGTACATAAAATCCCTTACAGCAGATCTTTGGGCACACCTGTCTCGGCCCCTAGCTCCAGTTCTCTTTCTTGAAAGCAAGTTGTACAGCATCATTCACATCCTGCACTATGTAAGACGCCTCCACCAGGCTGGGATCAAAGCAGAAGTCCCGATGTCCATGGAACACCTCCTCGGTCGTGCACTGCTCTGTTTTTCTGGGAACGCCGTCGTCGTGGCGGTAGACCCCAGTGCAGACCAGAATCGAATCACAGCTCTCCACTGAACTGTTGCAGTCCTTCCTCAGCTCCAGGTAATCCTCAGTTTGGGGACTGGCTGCCTGTGGGTTCCTCTTCCCCCCAGCCCGGACCTGGTTCTGCTGAGCTGACTTGAGGTAGTTGTTGTAGAGGTTTGCCCCATAGACGTCAGACATAGGGTTATCCCTGGATAAGGTCACAGTGCGAAACAGGAATGAGAAACTAGCCCA